TATATATATTAATATATTGTCGTTATATTTAAAGGTCTGAAAGCAGTTTTTTTACTTATGTATACTTTGAATATACCTACCTTCATTGCACGTTTAATATGATGGTTAGAACTAATAGTTTTGTGGCCCTGTAACAATGTCCTTCACCAAAGTGTATTGAATATTATTTGCTATGATAAAAGAAAACAATGAATGCTGCGAATGTATGGCTCTCTAAACATTTTTGACATTGTTAAGAAGTAAAACTTATGTAACGATTTAGACATTAAGTGAAACATAGCAGATCTGTTAAGTAATCCGGAGACAAGAAGATATTTACAAGTATATCTTCTAGAGAATCAGTCTCCTCTAGCAAAGCCATCAGGGATGATGTTCAAATGGTTTATTTTAAGTACTCTATATAAGAAGAGTTTAAAGAATTCAATAAGAGGCAACCATAATATTATAGTTCGAAAATTGGTTTCTCATAAAAAATTGCAATTCATTCCTCAGCAGACACATAATGTGCATGATCCAGCTAATCTTAGAACTAATACATTATTTAAAGCTTAGAAGGCTTAAGTTCTACTAGAAATTAGATGCTCTATACAGTAAAAACATATCTAAAACAATGAAGTGTATTAATGAAAGGGCTTTAGTTAAGACTGAAACTAGGAAAGCATTGTTAACAAGAATTGGCAGTATATTAGGCAGCATAATTATCAAATTCAGTAACTACAGTTTGACATTTTATTGGCTCAGATTAACCCTTTATTTAGTATTAGCCTCTCCAGTAAAAATTGAAGCAATCTAATGTGAATCTCAAAAGCCATCGTCACAAGAAAACTATCCGTTGCTGAATATAAAATATTTTAATTATGAATGGTTTTGCCATCAGTATCTACTTATTTATGACGTAAGAGAATCGTTTATAAGCAAAAGACAGTCAATACCTCGTAATAATAAAGAATTCTGAAAATTATTTCTGAACTTTCAATACATTTTGGAGCAAGAGCCAGAGTCTCAGCAGCAACATTTGGAATTTTTATTATTAACACTATATGAAGTAAAATGAGATTTACAATCTCCTCTTGTTTTACCTTAAATATTAGCAAATAACTGTTCAGGTAGTATCAGATGTCAAATATTAGGGGTACAGCTTGGCTAGAATCTATATAAGAGTTATAATGGATAAAAGGTAGCTCCGCATTGATTGATGTTGCATAAGTTTAATAAAAACATTTCTTGAAGGCAGATGATAATAATAAGTTTGGCTTTTATTCGCCATATAATATAAAGGTTTGTGCAAGCTGATTATGCGTAATTTAGCAATGTTGGAATTGCACAAAAAGAAGCAGAATAAATGTCACTATCTTTGGCTGTATATATTAAATCTCCTCAAGTGTACAATTTATTATCAACTTTTTGACAGTTTACAAAAGTAACTTTAATTGTTTTTTGAATTTTAATGCATGCACATATTTCTTGTGGAATAGTGGCCAAATAATAATCTTAGTAATTCTTCTTCTAATGCCTGCACCATTTGCAAATGGATTAATGATCACTTACTCTGTATGAAACTTGATGGAATAAATAATGTTTATGAGAGCGTCTACTACATTTCAATCTGGCTAAATTAAAGTACATTTTAATTATGTATTTGTAATTAATAAGATTAATTAATGAGCAAAATTAATTGTCTCATAACTGAGAGAGTTTCATAGATTCACGAAGAAGAACTGGAAGATTCAGTTTAATACTTAGTATTAATAATAAGTGTAAGAAAAGATTCTTTGAAAACATGTATTTTATAATAACAAATGGAGAAAACATCATCAAATTCTCTCAAGATCTCTAATTTTGGATTGTGCAGCAAAAGGCAAATTTTGCTTGACAAACAACTGAAATATTAGACACTTATTTAAAACAGCCTCTTATACGTAATTCAAGAAGCCTGTTCATAAACAAAGCATGCAAAATTTTATCCCTAATTTTCATGACTCATCTTAATCGATCAGTGTTCTTAGTCTTTTTTACATGTACCTTCACACAGCAAGAGAAGTTAGGTATGAGAATTGATATCATCTAGATGATAAAAGCTGCAAC